GTGTGTGTGTGTGTACCCAAAATCCTAATGTACAGCCAGTTAGATCAGGGCTACAGGAATGTAGGACGCCCATGGCTAAGATACAAAGACAAGCTGAAAAGCAACTTGTCAGCAGTCAATATACCACATAACACCCTTGAGCGCTTAGCCTTGGAGCGGGTAGAATGGAGATCAACGTGTTTTAGTGGACTCAGCAATTTTCAATCTGCTTGTCTGAATCATCTTCAAGAAGTGAGAGCAAGATCTAAAAGGTCAGCCAATCTAACAGTGATCTCATCTCACAATCCTCACACTTGCTCCATATGTGGCCTCCTTTGTAAATCACTAGCGGGTCTTAAATGCCACTTAAGATTATCGCACAAAATTTCATAACTGAATCAATTAAGTTGTCAGATCCTCATACATCGAAACCGACGGGAGAGTCTCCATTATATATATATATATATATATATATATATATATATAAATAAATATTTAAAATGACATGAAAATTTATTGCGTTCAACCAAAATTGACTCATTTTATTTAAGTTAACCTCAATTATCCAAAAAAAATTTATGAAAAAAATAACTTGCTTCGGCGGAATTTTCTCCATTCTTTGGTCAAAATTTTTATGACGTAATTTGAATTAAATCATATATTATCTCACCAATATATGAATTATCTGTTGTTTTAATATATGGACATATTGTTGGCTTGTTGTGTATTTTTGTGTACTTTTGAGATGTGTGTAAAATGAAGAAATCTTAAGACGTCAAGTCGCAATCGTCGTGGCCAATTGACTTCTCTGTTTCGAGAGATGATGCAACCTGGGAACTTTTCATTCAAATTCTGTTTGAAAGTCTTGACGTAATAGGTTTGGATAATTATAAACGTTTTTTGATTGTTAAGATTTCCATGCTTGAAATTCAAAAAATTTTCAAGTTGTTAAAGCTGAAAGTCTCTTTTGGAATTATTAGACTTTTTTTAATTCACATTTAAACTATCTATATTTATCTAACTATCTATCTATATATATATATATATATATATATATATATATATATATATATATATATATATATATATATGTGTTTCAGTGTGTGTGTGTGTGTGTGTGTGTGTGTGTGTGCAAATTCCTATCCTTTATAATTCTTTTTATGAAAGTGTTTGCTAAAGTCTTTGTTCGGCTATCCATTTACAAAGCGTTCCGTTTAAAAGTTACTCAATTCTTCCTGTTTTGCCTTCAATATCAAAACAAACCAAGCTGTCTTTTTCCTCATCATGCGTCCCAAGGAAGTTTAGATAGAGCCAAAGGACACTCTTAGTTATCATCAGAAAGGAGACAGTTGAAATTTGAGGATATATAATGAGGAATCATTTTTTTGGAGATTTTGACACTCACATGACATACTGTTTAAAAGGGGAAACTCTATTAGTTAAGATGTGAAAACCAACAAAGGATTAGAATTGACAATAATCATTTTTATTTGTCTAGTAACAAAGAGTCAATCGCTGGTTTCCAGTTTAGGAGAAGGTTTCTGGTTCCTTCAAAATCTTTTTCCTTGTCTTTTCAATTCCAGTAGAATATGATACTTGAACTTAGTGGAGTTATCTCCTTGCTTAGAATGAATTTTTTTAAAAAAACAAACTCCGGAACAACGGCCATAGACGCGAATCAAAAGTTCATTCCATATATTTAAACAGATATAACATCGTGATTATGTCACAAATGTTATCGAGAAGGAGACAGAATGAAAAGATAAGTCTAATATTACATTTATTCAGTAAAAAAATGTTAGTCTCATCAATAGAAGCAACTTTTCAGCAACAAACAGTATATATAGACCTGTTCTAGGTCCACTGCTGATTTAGTAATTGTCACAATAGACAGGCTACGATGGAGCACATTTAAAAATAAATTTCACGAGAATAATCGCCTTACGAGACTTAACCTGAAAAGTTGTATTATCACTATGAAGGAATGATGCTAGAGGCATTGTTCTTGAATGTATTAATTTCAAATCTTCTTATTAAAAACTAAATTGTTTCTTCCCAGGCAACGAGGATGGGCCTGAAGGACGCGTTTAGGTGACTGGAAGGAATAATGCTAGACTGTGAAATCTTGTGTGCATTAATTTCAACTCTTCTTATTTATAACTGCATTGTTTCTTTGGGATACAAGGTGGGCTGAAAAGTTTATAGGCTGACAATGAAGGACTGATATTTAGAACTATGAAATCTTGCATGCATTAATTTCAAATTTTTCTTTTTAATAACTGCAATGTTTCTTTCATGATACCATAAGGTAAAGGATGAAAAGTTCACAGCCTCACAATTCATTAAAGAAATGATTTAGAGCTGTGAAATCTTGCATGCATTAATTTCAACTCTTCTTCTTAATAACCGCAGTGTTTCCTTCCAGGTTAAACACCGTGAAAACTTCCATCATATGCTGATTATGAAGGAGTGGTTTTAAAATCAAACCGAGTCTAACGTCTCCACAACTAGAATTATTGATATCATATGAGCGCCTTGTATTTTGATAGTTGGGGAAATCTTCAAATACGACATTAACGACTGCGTGAATTTCCATACCATTTAAAAAACACCTTCTTTTTTTTTATACTTTGATCCTAACCAGCTGATTCATTTTGATTTACTTCTCTCTGTGTATATATTTCATGGATTTTGAATACAAACAACCTGATAAAAAATATGGTCAATTTTTTTTGGATATTTATCAAAGAATCTTCCTTAAAACGAACAAAAACAATTTTTCAATATGTCTTTTTGGTAATTTCAATAAAATTTTTTCCATGGGTCCTGTATAGCAAAATAAAACCTTCGGTTTCATTTTTTAATCTTGCTCTACAATTCACAGATGGATTTGCCTTTATTAGCTCATCAACCTGTTTGGTACGGGCCCTTGACCGTGAAAAATTTTATCTTTATAAAGTTTTGCATTTGGTCCGTTTCATTGATGCTTTTGGTTTCATTTTTATACCGATTTTTTTATTTGTAAATATATAATGGTTTTATTTCTTCCATGAAAGAAAATTAATTTTAAATTTGTTGGCTTCTATTTATTACTGAATAATGTTTCTTATTTCTTTCATGTAATTTCTTGCACAGATCAGTACAAAAAACAAAAATAGCGATTTAAGTTCAGTGTTGCCAACATTTTGTGAAAATTTTTGTGAATTGATTGGACGTTTTTGAACAAATAAAAAAAGTTATCTAAATAATTTTAAGGTATCTTTGAAAATCGATTGTTGCGGCTTTGTGCTAACATTTCTCACTAACATAATCCTTGATCCTTCTTCGGATCTGGAAGGCATACAGAGGGGTCAATATCAGTCTTAGGTTCATACATTAATGGATTAAGAGATTCTTTTTTTTTGACATCCATCCGCACGTTAGAGTTGGATTAATCTAAGTTTAAAATTGTATTATACCAAAGGGTATATAATATTTATTCTCTTTGTGAATTCAAACTTTTCAATATTTTTTTTTTAAACTAACTTTTTCGTTATGCTGTATTCCATATCCTCATTTCTTTTTTATGTTATCTATTAATTTAAATTTAATGTTTTCTCTATTTTTCTTGCCAAAATCATAATTCTATTGAATTGATTTCTTAATTTTCTCTTTCTTGAATTTTAAAACATAACAAGTATTTATTTTTAAAAAGTATTTTGTCGATACCGATGTCATTCGTGAAACATTTTAAGTATTAAAAAATACCTTTAAACTTATTGTCGTTTTTAAAATTAACGAAAGATCATCCATTTAGAATAGAGGATAAAACACAGTTCTTGTTAAATTCAATAATCTATAGTTATTACTGTTTAAATACGGTTCAAAACAAAACATTAATAAAAGAAAGAAAAAACAGAAATTAATTGAATTTTTTATTATTTTATATTGAAAGGCGATTAGAAATGGCAGTTAAAATTTGTCAATGTTTTATTAATATAACCTTTTTCTTCATGCTATTATTTTATATTTAACGAATTTTTACTATAAAATTTATTTGATCATGTACATTTTTTTTTTTCTTTAGGATCCATGATATCAAAGGATTTAATGTAATCTTATATCGAAAAAGTAAAAAGATTTCTACGCTTTTCCAGGATCATTTTATTTTCAACAGTTGATCTTTGCAACCATATGTACCATTCTGATAATGATTCTGTTTTTAAGAATTTTGCTTACTTCATAACAACAAATACATTTGACTTATTTCGTCGGGACAGACATTATTTAAAATTTATATGTGATGGACAGACATGTTTTGACATATAATTCTTCAAACAAAGATATGTAAAACGTTATTTTGATCGATTCAAAATTTTTAAAAAATTATTAAAAAAAATCAAATATCACATTTTGCCAGATGATGGGGGATTTTAGGGGTGATTTTTATAGATTTTTGCAAATTGGTTGTTATTATTAATAGCATTATTATTATTTCATCATTAAAATTTTTATTATGACTAAATCTGTAATGTATTTTATATCATGGACATGCAATGATGAAATGCTTTGATTGCTGTTATTTAGACCATACAAGGTCAACGAATGAACGAGAATGATGTTGATGATGATTATGATGATGATGATGACGATGATTATGATTGTGATGACGATGATTATGATGATTATTATGATTATGGTTATGGTTATGATGATGATGATGATTATGATTTTGATTTCAAATTCAATGTTGATGGTTATGACAAATCAATGATGACAATTATGATCTTGATGATGATTATGATGTTGATGACGAGGATTAAATGACATATTTTTATGATGATGATTGATTATGATGATGGTTTATGATGGTGATTGATATTATGATGATGATGATTATGATGATGATTATGAGTATGATGATGATGATGATGATGATTATGACGATGATTATGATGATGATGATGATGAAAAAGTTCAAATTTTAATGCCTCCTCATCCGATTTTTTTTTTATATTTTTATTTATCTATGTATACCAATATCATAGAAGTAACATAGATAGATAGATAGATAGATAGATAGATAGATATAGGGTTAGGTAAATGAAATGCATAGATATAAAAAACTGCATACTGTGTTAAAAGTTAGTAACAAATAAACAAATAAATAATTACCAAAATTTGCCAAACTTTTACTAGACATAATTGTGCGGTGAAACTGAGCTAATTTATATATATATATATATATATATATATATATATATATATATACCCAAAAAATTTTTTTGAAGTGCGTATTGCCAGACATGAGCAAGTGGCAACACTGCGAGACAGTGACCTTGAGCAAGTAAACATTTCGCCATTTAGAATTCAAGATGAAATTCACAGTATCCCAGCTGAGATGTTGCAGCAGTCAATGAGGAATCTCAACAGCAGATTTCAAGAATGCATTCGTACAGGAGGACGCCATCTACAGGACGTAATTTTAAAAAAATGAAAATTCTATCAATGTTTCTTAAATGGCATGTTTTAAGGTTTCAATTACTATGAATAAAATATTTTTTCCATCACTCTTGGTTTAATTGGATTGTTAAAAAAAATTTTTTGGGTCACAATATACATATATATATATATATATATATATATATATATTATGAAATGGACAAAGTTCGACAATTATTTTTAAGACATTTTTTTATATTTATACGATCTTTTTATATGGAAAAAATAAAGTTTTGTTTATATGTCCTTTTTAATATGGAACCGTCAAATAGCCTGACGTGCTTTTAAAAACAATAAAATCGACCTTGCTAACCGAAACGCTCCTCTGTGGCGAAATCGGTAAAAGCACGTCAGGCTATATGACGGTTCCGTATAGGATACGGGTTCAATTTCTGTCGGAGGACGCATATTTCTATGAAAATTTCTCGGACATTCAGGCCAGTAAATGTCATTAATACTGTTTATTATAAACAGAGCATTTACTTAAATATCTGTATCTATAAAAAGAACGTATAAACATAAAAAATTCTTTAAAAAAAAATATATATATACCTACGTTTGGTGTGCGACTTAAGTTTCGTTGGTTACCCAACCGTTGTTACACTTGTGCACGACGAGTTGGGTAACTTAAATCGCAGACCAAACGTAGGTATACATATATATATATATATATATGTGTGTGTGTGTGTGTGTGTGTGTGAAATGGATAAAGTCCGACAATTATTTTAAGACATTTTTATGTTTATACATTCTTTTTATAGATACAAATATTTCAGTAAATGCTCTGTTTTTTTATAATGTGTGACGTCATTTGTTTACATTGGATACGCCATGAGCAGATATGAATGTACGTGAGAGATTCATGGAAAATTGAAGTCCAAATACAGTAAATTCGACCTTAATAACCGAACGCTCCTTCGTGGCCAAATCGGTAAAGTCACGTCTAGCTAAATGACGGTTCCGTATAAGATACAGTTTCGAATCCTGTCGGAGGATGAATATTTTCTAGGAAAATTTCTCGGACATTCAGGCGGGTAAATGTTGTTTAATACTATTTATTATAAACAAAGCATTTACTTAAATATTTGTATCTATAAAAAGAATGTATAAACATAAAAATGTCTTACATATATATATCTGTGTGCGTGCTTAACTGTATTAATTTTATTACTCCCCAGTTCATATTTATGCATTTGTATACAACTATGAAATGTTGTTCATTAATAATGAGTGCTACAAAACTGCCAGTGGATATTTAGTGGAGTTGTTTCATTAGAAATGATGATGTTTCCTGGAGAGATAAAGTCAATATTACATTCAGTTTCTAATAACTAGGGTGACACTTCTCGAAAATGAGCCTCTGTGTCGACAGATCTTCTGTACACATAATTATATAGTGAGAGTCGAAGAAAGAATGAGAATTCAGTAGATAGATAGATAGATAGATAGATAGATAGATAGATAGATAGACATGAAAAGATAGATAGATAGACATGAAAAGATAAATAGATAGATAGATAGATAGATAGATAGATATGAAAAGAGATAAGTAGATACAAAGACAGATTTGAAAAGATAGATATGAAAAAATAGATAGATAGATATATAGATAGATAGATAGATAGATAGATAGAAAAGAGATATATAGATATAAAGACAGATTTGAAAACATAGATATGAAAAATAAATAGATAGAAATAATAGATAGATAGATAGATAGATAGATAAAGAGATAAATAGATACAAAAGACAGATTTGAAAAGATAGATTTGAAAAAAAATAGATAGATAGATAGATAGATAGATAGATAGATAGATAGATAGATATATGATGAAGAGATAAGTAGATACAAAGACAGATTTGAAAAGATAGATATAAAAAAAATAATAGATAGATAGATAGATAGATAGATAGATAGATAGATAGATATGAAAAAGTCCATAAATAGATACAAAGACAGTTTTGAAAAGATAGACATGAAAAAATAGATAGATAGATATAGATAGATAGATAGATAGATAGATAGATAGATAGAATGTAAAAAGAGATAAGTAGATACAAAGACAGATTTGAAAAGATAGATAAAAAAAAATAGATAGATAGATAGATACAGATAGAAAAAAAGATAGATAGAAAAGATAGATAGATAGATAGAATAGAAGAGATAACATAGATGCAAAGACAGATTTGAAAAGATAGATATGAAAAAATAGATAGATAGATAGATAGATAGATAGATAGATAGATAGATAGATAGATATGAAAAGAGATAAGTAGATACAAAGACAGATTTGAAAAGATAGATATGAAAAAATAGATAGATAGATAGATAGATAGATAGATAGATAGATAAAAAGAGATAAGTAGATACAAAGACAGATTTGAAAAGATAGATATGAAAAAATAGATAGATAGATAGATATAGATAGATAGATAGATATGAAGAGAGATAATATAGATACAAAGATAGATTCAAAAAATAGATATGATAAAAATAGATAGATAGATAGATAGATAGATAGATAGATAGATAGATAGATAGATATGAAGAGATATAGTAGATACAAAGACAGATTTGAAAAGATAGATATGAAAAATAGATAGATAGATAGATAGATAGATAGATAGATAGATAGATATGAAGAGATAAGTAGATAATAGATAAAGACAGATTTGAAAGATAGATATGAACAAATAGATAGATAGATAGATAGATAGATAGATAGATATGAAGAGATAAGTAGATACAAAGACAGATTTGAAAAGATAGATATGAACAAATAGATAGATAGATAGATAGATAGATAGATAGATAGATAGATATGAAGAGATAAGTAGATACAAAGACAGATTTGAAAAGATAGATATGAAAAAATAGATAGATAGATAGATAGATAGATAGATATGAACAGACTAAGATAGAGAGAGAGATTGTAATGAAGATAATATCCTTTTTAAAAAGAACTTTAAATAAAAAAAATAATACAAAATTTATTGACTAGTAATTATTTTTTAATTCATTTTAAATAAAGTTTTTAGGATCGACAATAGCCGGTCGATAATATAATATTATTCAACATCATAATAAACCGCATTTTCTGAGTGTATATAAAGTTTATTGGTTGTCTGTGTTTTAGGGGAAACCGGGACTGGTTAGTAATATGGCGCAGCCTGAATCATTGGCCTTAGTTTTGGTTTTCCCCCTCCCTTAATGGCGGCACTCTTAGTCTCATTTTGAGCAGAAACGTTTCCGCTATGATTCTTTTGTCTTTGAGTCAAATGTGTTGTACGCATGAAAAAGGTTGAATGAAAATCCTATTTTTTTTTTTCGGCCTAATAAGTAACTTTTTCACGTTGCCAAATGTCTGATAAAATTCGTGTCTTGCAAACATTTATATTATATATGTCATTTCCGTGTTTCCTCGCAGTCAAAACAGAAAAGTCCATTATTTACGGGGTATTGGCAGAGCGCAACGGTCGTGCGAATTAACTAAGAAATTAACTAACTAAAGAAGGGAGAAACAAGCAGAATTATATTCGTAACAAATGTATATGATGAGACAAAGAAGAGTGGAAAATCTTATAAACGACGCGTTTCGCCGACGTCTATTGAGTTCAGCTTCTTCTGGTCGGAATAAAAGACAAAACAATATGTAAGTAAAATGCATTTGAATTTTTGAGGATAAGATGGGTAATAAATTATTAATTATCTAATCACATCGGATGACCAGAAACCAGAAAGTGTTTATTTCTTCATAGATAGATAGATAGATAGATAGATAGATAATATTACTGGTCAGTATATATATACATAAATTCCCAAGAGGATTGAATCCAGGTAAAACTCAATGTCCAGGACAGAGTAAGAATATAATATAAAAGGCTCAAACACTAATATTCCATGGTTATAATTTTATATATATATATATATATATATATATATATATATATATATATATATTATATTATTTATGTATTTACATTTTTACAATATATATTTAATTATATATTATATTTTTAATTAAACAGTATTAATTACATTTACCGAAGAACGCATATTTTCTACGAAATTTCTCGAACATTCAGGACGATAAATGTAATTAATAGTGTTTAATTAAAAACAGAATTTTTTTTTAAACAAATTGTATCTATAAAAATAACATATAAACAGAAAATATATTAAATAATTGTCGGGCTGAATCCATTTATATATATTGTCATTATTTATATATATATTTCCTGATATAAATGATCGATAAAGAAGATCATCGAAGATTGTGTCTTTATAAACAGTAATTTGAGGATGAACCAGACGCTTCTCTGTAATATGAATAGTACATAACGTCAGGCCAAATGACGGTTTCTGTTAGGGATATAGGTTCAATTCCTTAGGAGAATGTATATTTATATTTTTGAAATTTCTCGAACATTCAGGACCATTAAATGTAATTAATATGTTCAATTAAATTTTATATTTATTTGTATATATAAAAAAATATATATAAACAGAAAACATATTAAATAATTGTCGGGCTTAATTCATTTCATTATGTTATCATTGTTTACGTTAAGATACCTTTGTAAGCAGAAATGATCGATCGAGAAAAGTCGTCGAAGATTGTGTGTTTATAAACAGTTATTCCAACTTTACTAACCTGAAACTTTTCTGTAGCTGAATGGTACAGCACGTCAGGCAAAATGACGGTTTCCGTTAGAGATACAGGTTCAATTCCTGTCGGAGAACGTATATTTTCTACGAAATTTCTCGAACATACAGGCTGGTAAATCTAATTAATACCGTTCAATTAAAAACAGAACATTTACTTGTACCTATAAAAATAACGTATAAACAGAAAATATATTTATAATTGTCAAAGTTAATCCATTTCATTATATACATATTATATCCGTTTATGCAGAAAGTGTTATATATATAGTATATTTAGAAAAAAATATTTTTATACATGTATAATATAAAAAAGGCAGACAAGTTAATGCGATTAAACTTTTTATTTAATTTTCTTGTGTTGGTATTTAAATTTATTTTCTGGATACAAATTTTAATATTTTTTTCTTCTGAATATTTTATATTTTCTTTCCTTGTTCACTGCCAGATATTTGTAGTTTATATAATTGTATATTTTATCTCTCAATGACATCACAACTGGAATCTCTGCCCCACATATATCTATATATTGCGACGACTAATGTGACTATCAATTGGTCGCGGCAAAAAACGTGACGTTCTAACCCTTTGCTGATTCGGATGGGAATCTGGTTAGATTCAGTGTTCAGCCTTGTATTTTTAATAATGCTCGCCTCCAACGCCTGATTACCGAGTATTTTTGTCAACCGTCTTTTTAACGATATATAAATATAAATTGGACTAGTTTTTTTTACCGTATTGATCTATTATTGCTTTTTCTATGGTCCTGAATTTAAGTATATTGATAATATTAGCGTTAAAATTAATTCGATTTTTTTATATACCCTATTATATTGATATAATCTTACCAGTGCGTTAAAATCGTTGTTATACGACATTCGTGGTCCATGTTAATAAATTTGAACACAATTCGACTTAATAAGTGTCAGTTGAAAATTTGATTAAAGAAAAAAATATTCAAGAAAGGAACATTTATTGAGTGTGCGCTGATCTCAGAATCATCGACACCAACGGCTATTTATATACATTTTATTTTTTAAAATTATCAACGTCAAAAAAGAAAAAAGAGCACCATGACGCAATTCACTCCGCCAGAAATTTGGAAACGGCATGCTGTACTCCTTGGCATGTATCACCGAAGTTCCAATACGAATATAGAGTGTCGATCTGTCGATCCGGAAATAGTTGAATGAGTCTAATGGGGATTACGAAGGTGTTTGGAGTGATCACTAGTGATGGCGTCTTTATGCCTCCTTTTGTTTTCCCACGGGGCCTCAGGCTCAACACGGAATAAGATATAAAATGATTTTGAGGAGGTACATTTGCCCTGGATCAAGAGGGTGGCTACTAGATTTCCCTATAAATGGTAACAGAACCCTGAACCATACCATACAACCAAGAGAACCCAGTCATTGCTGTCAGACAATTTTTCTACCACAAATATATTAAATAAATTTTTCCGCTTAACTTTTTCTTGACAGAAATCTTTTGATTATTATGTGTAGAGCGCATTGATAAAGAGATTATATGAAAACCTCTTTGTAAAACCAAAAAATAAACTGAAGGCAACGATTATGGTATCATTCTTTGTTCTTTTGTTTAAAGGAGCCCGTAATAGAAAAGTTGCAGGAGATTCCTGGAATTTTTCTCGAAAAAATGTGGTTGAAGCCAATGACGATTTTACTGAATAAATTTACCCTTTCGTATTTCAAGATATTTTTTGGCGTAATATTGGAAATGAGATGTCAGCGTTATCTTCATTTTGGTGTAATTTAGACAATTTGTCTATCGTACCCTGTATATATGAAGACTTGTAGTGACTGGTTTGCCTGGGATCATACTCTGCCAGTAGGCTAGCTGAAATTTGGGTCCAGTGAAATGACTGCAAAGGCTGGGCTCATGACGAGAGCCCTGACATTGGGAGCAAAAGCTATCTTTATTTTTGCCATAACTGTGTCAGTGACTTAAGTGAATTTTCTTGAGAAATTAAGTCTATGTTTACAAATTATCATTTTACATTTGTTAAAGTTAAATAAAGTTGCATTTGAATCGTAAATCAGGTATCACATTGATTTTATTGTCCTAATTTTACAATTTACCCCACCATGTTACCTATTTTCTGTTACTTTTTGTCCTACCGGTGGAGTAAAAAGTAACATTTTACAATTTTCATTTTTTAACGTTAAGTTTTATTTTAAATTTAAATGACATCAGAAATATTCATTTAAAGGATTCCAATGTTCATCAACATTTAATTAACCGTGTCTGTCTACAATTATATGGTCATATGATTTAGCAAAAAAAATTTTTACTTTAGAAATAAATTTAAACTATATATATATAGGACTAATTAATCTGCTTTTGAACAAAAAATTTCCCATCTGATATCTAGAAAGATTATTATCTTAACGTAAACAAATGACGTCATATATTATGAAATGGATATTTACAATGTTTTTTATATATTTTCTGTTTAAACGTTATTTTATAAATACAAATATTTAAGTAAATGCTCTGTTTATTATAATAACATTTTTAATATACCTGAATGTATTTTGAAGAAATAAAAATAAAACACACACATTCACAGAAAGATATATATATATATATATTATATATATATATATATTATATATATATATATATATATAATCTTAGATTAAGCGTATATTTAGAAAAGAAAAAAAATAAAATAAAAACAAAAGCAGAATATTTTTCTATACTTTATTAATGATCTGCGTTTCATTGATAATGCCCTCAAAAAGGAAAAACACGTCGATAATTATATATTTTATATATATATATATGTTTTATATATATATATATATATATATATATATTTATTTATTATATATATATCGTATATATTTGTGTGACTTACTTTCCCCTGACGATCCGTTTAGGTGAAACTTAGGTAGGTTTGTCTGGCTCACTAGGGTATCTAGGTCTGCTCTACGGTTGTATTGAGCTCTTTTGTTAGTTAGTTGTTACTCGTATCGGGTTTTTTCTTTGGGCTTCAGACCTGCATCTGTGCGATTTTTTTGTCGGCAGAAGTTCATGTTTGTAGCTCTTTTTTTTTTAAAACCTTTTTTTCCCTCGAGATTGATTTGATTATTAGCAAATCAAAAAATTCGAGGGTTTTTCGAAACGAGTCTAGTTATCTATATATATATATATATATATATATATATATATATATATATATATATATATATATATATATATATATATATCGTCATCCACAGCCACAGGTTGGATTTCAAATGTATGACAGCTCATCATAAAAAGACGAATATTTTAAGCCGAGATTAAAAAGTTTTATATCATGTAATAAAAAACATTTTCTGGTCTTTGGTCGTCGTAACTGATAATGTAATTTATTTTAATGGCCGTATTAACTTCCAAAGTCCCAACGCATTTTCCCTATGTCTCAAGTCAATGTTAATCCGTTTTTCGTTAAAGTTCGTTGACCGCTATAAAGTTTCAAGTAGCTCATAATATGGAACTGTGATTAAACTCGGATAATTCCTGTTGAGAAAGTGAAAAGTGTTGGGGCACTAAAAAGAATTAAAACAAGTTGAATCTGATATTTCTCTTGATAAATAACAGATTATTAATACCATTTAATAATATAGAAATATATCGTGAAATATATATATATTTTACCATTTATTTGTCTACTAGCAGCATGACCCAGCGTTGCCGTGCTTGATTCAAAAAAAATCGTACGTCAAACATACAGCAATCGCTATCACTTGACTTAAAATATTTTTGCCCTTCTACCAATTGTTTAAAGGCGTGCCCTTTGCCGTGCTGATGTTGCTACATATAAACTTCTTGCCTAACACTGCGAATTTTTTTCTAAGCTCTATATTAAACATTAAATCTGTTACGAAAAAAGAACTAAACAAAAATGAACACAAAACGATCAACTTTAAAAAAGAACTCGTAACTGGAAAAACCGAATAAAAAAAGAATGTTAACATCAAATACTTTTCACACTAAACCCAGTTCTGCGGAATCAGAATCAACGTTGAGTTTAAGCAAGCGAATGAGCCAATTGGAGTAAAGTGCCATGCAGATTTAAATTTTTCCCACTTCGTTGACGAATGCAGCTATCGATTTTTTTTTTGCATGCTAGTTAACATTCGTGTTGCTCAGCTGTTGGCTCTCACGCTGGCCAATAGAATCTTCCTGTCTATTCGTGGCAGCCAGCTATAAGCTCTCACTCTGGCCAGTAGAAAATGGCCGCAAACTAATTATGAAAACTGCCATAGAAACATGAAAAAATCGATTATTTCCATTGTCGGTCATAGTTAGTCCAATGCAAGGTTGTTCTTGGCCTTTCAGCTAACTTGGAGCATGTGCATGTAAATTTTGGTATTTAATCCGTCGAAAATTGTGGCCGTGCATTCGTTACACACACACACATACACATTCTGCCTTTTATAGATAGAGATTAATCCTAATTAATGATTCAATAACTTCCTTGCGAGTATAAGGCCACAGTGAAATTTTGTTTGTTTTTTTAAAATTTGTTTTTCAAAAACATTTCAATTGGCATTCAAAAGTATAGATGAACGTAGGTCTTTAAAGAAGAGGGTACAAATGAAAATATCTGGAATTGAGAATTTTTTTCCCATTTCTTTGAGGCAGACATTAATTGAATGAGAGTGTTATCGCCCCCTCTATCTTTTCTTTCTTCGTCTCTCGGTGAAACCAAACAGTGTCTCTTTTGTGACTTCTGTCTTTCTTCACGATCAAAACGGAATAGTGCATTATTTATGAGGTATTGGAAGGGCGTAACGGTCGTGATAAGTATGGAACGCTGGAACAAACAGAATTATAATATGAGGTTGAAAAAAAATAAGAAAGAAAGAAAATATTTTCCTTTACTAGCTTCTAAAAAAAAACTTTCTCTCTTTCGATGCTTCCAGATCGTCTTCTCTGCGTTCCAATATTTTTCTTCCAGTCTCTTTATTATCTAAATTTTCTTTCTTGCTATCTCCATTTTCTTGTATAGCTTTCTTTCTTTCTTAATCTTCGATTTTTTTTCTTTTTTTTCTTTACGGGATTTCTTTCTTTCTTTCTTTCTTTCTTTCTATTCTTTCTTTCTTTCATTCCCATGCCGTTCTTTTTTAATTATTTCATATAAAGTTTAAGTTCTTTAATTTATTCTCATCTCTTGCAGTCGCTTTCAATTTTTTTCTTTCTTTTTTTTTTTTTGCGCTCGATTTCTTTCTTTCTTTTTCCTTCTTTTTATTCTTTCTTTTCTTTTCTTTCTTTTTTCTTTCTTTCTTTCTTTCTCTCGCTTCCTTTCTTTCTTTTTCCTTCATTTTATTCTTTCTTTTCTTTTCTTTTCTTTTCTTTTCTTTTCTTTCTTTCTCATGCTGTTCTTTTTTAGTTATTCCATATAATGTTTAAGTTTTTTCATTCATTCTCATCTCTTCCAGTCGTTTTCATTTTCTTCTTCCTCCTCTTGTTATCTTCTCTTTTTTTTGCTCTCGCTTTATTTCTTTATTTTTTTCTTTCTTTATTTTTTTTTTTCTTTTCTTGTTATCAATTTCTTTTTCTTTATTTTTTTATTTCTTTCTTTCTTGTCTTTTTCTTTTTTTATTTTTAACAAAAAAAATTTTCTTTCTTTCTTTCTTTTTTCTTTCTTCTTTTCTTTTCTTTCTTTTTCTTTCTTTCTTTCTTTATTTATTTCTTTCTTTCTTTTTTTTTTTTTTTTTCTTTCTTCCTTTCTTTCTTTCTTTCTTAATTTCTAATTCCCTTTTCTTTCTTTTTCTTTATATTTTTTTTCATTCTTTCTTTTTCATTCTTTCTTTTCTTTCTTTCTTTTTTTTTTCTTTCTTTCTTTTTCTTTCTTTCTTTCTTTCTTAAAATTTCTTTCTTTCTTTCTTTCATTTTTTTCTTTCTTTCTTTCTGTCTTTCTTGTCAATTTTAAAGAGAATACACTTTCTTTCTTTCTTTCTTTTTCTTTCTTTCTTTATAACCTTTTTTTTTTCTTTCTTTTTCTTTCTTTCTCTTTGAGAAATGACAGAAACCATTTCTCCCTTTCTTTCTTTCTTTCAACGAAAATTTCTTTCTCCCCTTTCTTTCTTTCTTTTTCTTTCTTTGAAGATAATTTTTCTTTCTTTCTTTCTTTTCTTTCTTTCTATTCTTTCTTTCTTTCTTTCCCATACCGTTCTTTTTTTAGTTATTTCATATAAAGTTTAAGTTCTTTCATTCATTCTCATCTCTTCCAGTCGCTTTCATTTTCCTCTTCCTTCTCTTGCTATCTTCCGTTTTTTGTTTGTTTGTTTGATTGTTTTTTGCTCTCTCTCTCTCTCTCTCTTTTTCTTTCTTTTTTCCTTTCTTTCTTTCTTGCTCCTGCTTTCTTTCTATATTTATTTATTTACTCCCAATCAAAACGGAATAGTACAAATTTTTCTGAGCTCTTGGCTCGGTGATGATTCGTTTGTTCATGTCTCTCACTACAGCGTCTCTGATATGTCTTTTCCATCATTAACCACAATCAGTACATTATTTATAAGGTGTTGGCAGAGTTTAGCATATGTGCATAATAACAAAGTAAAGAACAGGCAGAATTATATAACATATATTAATTATTAATATCATATTGCATGGGATTATCTATATCCCCCGGCTTTTCTGGTCTTTTTCAGCGACGGTTTTCAATGAGAACTTTATGTTTTGAACCGTGGAGCTAATCCAACGGAATGGATAATGACGGAAGTCTTTTCAAGCATTATGCGAGACATGTGCTTTACGCAAATAAAAAGAGGCCGTTTAAAACGGCGTATCTCACGTAATCGTAGAAATGTTTGATTTTATCAAGGAAAGCGTCGTTTTTAGATTGCGCTTGACGATTGTTTCCCTCTGTTCATGTTGGGTAATCGTGCTTGAAGAATCGACTACAGAAGTCGCTAGAGACCGTTCTATTAGCTGAATATAAAGTCTCTCTCATTCTCACTGAAGACGTTGTGTCCACACCGAAAAACGCTCTATTAAGTACCTGACACCTCCTGATATGCTGTACCTTTACAAGTACTTGAGACCTGATATGCTTTACATTTACAAGTACCTGATACATCAAGATATGCTGTACCTTTAAAAGTACCCGACAACTCCTGATATACTCTACAAAGTCACCTGAAACCAATCATAAACCCTACAAAGAAAGAACAACTCCTGATATACATAGCGGCAGAATTACCTAAAACCTCCTGTTTACAGCATTATAACAGTTTTCCTGATATTTCTGGAATTAAATATGACAATCCATAATTTGAGTCTAAAAAAAATTTGACACCTCCTGATATGCTCTACATCAGTCGACACCTCCTGATATGCATCACAAACCACGAAAAACACCCCTACTTTATTGCTCTCGTAAAGTATCCTAGTCTGATTCCATTTACAGATAAATCAGACCCCTAATTTGCACTAGTAGGCGCCCTGAAACCTCCTGAGTGCTCTACAAAGTAAATTGAGTATGATGATATAACTACAAAGTATGACAAATTTAGAGTCTATAAACATTGACACCTCCGGGATGGTGTTTCAAAACGGTTTTCCCCTGATGTATGCACTGGACAACTAAGTTGTGCTTTACAAACAGAGTGACAGTCTGATATGCTTTACAAATTACCTGACATAGAAAAGGACGACGCACCATTTTATATGTACTACAATTTACCAGAGTACCCTGATTTTATTCTTTGGTTCAATGGTTCGACCTCCTGATATGCTCTTCCTTTACAAAGGCCAAACTGAATAATGGAGAACTACTGCCATATCTAGGCGAGAGCCTTCAAGTCTTTTTTCTATATTACTATAGTCTTGATAGTGTTAAAACATTTATGCGGCCTTTAGGGTGATGAATTATTTTATACCAAACAATCCCTTCCCCAAAAAGCCTTTTCCTGAATCCCCTCCTTTTGTTTTAATTTTACTAATGTTCATCATTTCCAAGGACCGTTTTTAAAAAATCAAGGAAAAGGGTTATGTGTGGTGTCGTATGAACCTGTAAGAAAAAGCCAAGACCAACCTAGATTTGAACAAAGGAAAATTGGATACCTTACTCCTGTCCAAAGACCTGGGATATTCTGTGAACGAGGCAATTAGCTGATACAAATGGACTGAAATTCTTGGGCCATGCAGGAAAGATAACGTCCAATTTAAAATGGTGAAGATTTTTTTAGTGAATAACATTTTCAAAAACTCAGACGAAGACATTAGAAGTATAGTAAAAGTCATTTTTTTATTGTCAACTGATAATTTGGAAACCAGGAAAGACATCTTCCTGTCCAGAAAAACCTGGGAGGAAATGTGAACCGGGCAATTGGCGCAAAATGAAAATGGAGTGAAGTTCTTCAGGAAATGCAGGAAAAGATAACGTCAATTTAAGAGGTGAAGATTTAGTTAGTGAATAACATTTCAAAAACTCAGACGAAGATGCGTTTTAGAAGTATTGGTTTTTCAGCTTTCAAAATTAGGATAACCCAAGAGGAAACCAGGGATACACCTCTACTCCTGTTCAAAAGACCTGGGAGGAGTGTGAACCGAGCAATTGGCGCAATAAATGGAGTGAAGTTCTTCGGGCCATGCAGGAAAGATAACGTCCAATTTAAACAGGTGAAGATTTAATTAGTGAATAACATTTCAAAACTCAGACGGGGACATTAGAAGTATAGAGTTGGAGTTGACCTGAGTAGGAACCGGAAATCCAATCCTAAAAACGAAATAAGGCATAAACCCCTACTCCTGTTCGAAAGACATGGGAGGAGTGTGAACCTGGTAATAGGCGAACGTATCTAATACACCTATGGGGAAAAAAGTGAATAAAATTCCAGAGCTCAGTCGGAGACGTTAGAAGTGTAGAGTTGGGGTAAGCCTTAGTAGGAACATTTTTTGTTTTTATTTTTTTTTTTTCATTTTTAAGCAAAGCAATAAAGTCACTAAGACACAAAAAAAAGCCCAAACCTTTTGAACATTGAGTGAACCAGTCCTACTGTATGGATCAGAAACTTGGACCGTATCTGCTAGTCTTGAAAGATGACTGGATGGAACTATACAAAAATACTTCGAAAAATCTAGACCATCAGTTGAAGATCCCACACAACGCTTAACACAATTTATGGAGAAAAGAGACCAATCTCTCTTGAGCTCAAACAAAAACGATTGCAGTTTGCCGGCCACTGCCATCGAGTGAACTAGGATATCGTCTCATCCTTACTTCTATGGCATCTTTCTGGTGGTGTCTTCTCGCAAATGTTGACTTTCCCAAACACCGTGGCTCGGAACACAAGGTTGGACATTGGGGGTCTGGAGATGGCAATGATGGACCGAGCAGTGTGGAAAGGGATTATTGATGGAACTCTGACCAACCACAAGGAGGTTGAAGGATGATGATGATGATGATTGTGAATGGAATGACATATGTAGATTTTCTAAGCATTGCTTCGATGTGGTACAAAGCCAAAAGAATAGAGGCACCCAGTCAAAATCGAGCTGACAAGACATCAAAACAGAGCTGCATTGGTGAAATAAAAATCTGTGATAGATACTGCACAAGTAGAGTCATGCTGGTTTTAATATGTTAAAAATCCCCCCAAAATATTTCAACATCCACAAAGCTCTTGCATAAGATGTGTGTAACAAACTTGATAAGATTTGGCGCTCAAACCTTCCATCCTTCATAAAAATCCAAACCTTTCGATCATTGATTGAACCAGTCCTACTGTATGGATCAGAAACTTAGACATTATCTGCTCGTCTTGAAAGACGACTGGCTGGATCATATACAAATCACCTTAGAAAAATCCCGAACATCAGTTGGGTATCCTATGCAACGCTTAACACAATTTAC